CAAGCATTGGGAAACATATTCAGACCTACGGGGACAGGGATCTATGTATGGCTACGTGCCGATACCAAGTTTGTAAGTTTCGAATGCCCTAGCATTCTGAATTGAGTTCCAATATACGTTTTATACTCCAATCTACATGTTTTCTTGGGACGATATCTAAGCAATATTTGAATGCGACATTCCGACTTCTAAGAAGGAATTATTTTATAGTTCGGTTCTATTCTGAGTATTGAAAATGCGTTCTAGAACTTATCTGACCTGATGTTTCTTCATTTCTCTCCGTATCATTGCGAGATTTTTCTTTTTACCGTCGCTCTCTACTCCTCTTCTTTCTCTCTCTCTCTCTCCCACCCACTTTCTCCGTATTGGCTATAAACTCAACTTTTCAACTTTTTGGGGTTCTTATAAGGTAGTCGATCCTGAAAATTTCAATTTTTGTTTCTTTAGAGTTCTTATAAGATAGTCGATCCTGAAAATTTCAATTTTTATTTCTTTGGGTTTTGGGCTAGCGAGTCTCTTATCCCTTCTTTTCTTCTTTCGGTTTCTAACAGATATATAGACTCACATAGCACGATTAATATCCCTAAGGTACTCCCATCTGAAAGACTCCGAGCGCGCTGAACGTTGATCTCCGGGGCGCACGTTGGAGACCCCCCCCCGCACGAAATGCTGAATGGAGAGGGTTGTTCGGGATGCGGGGCGCGTTTGGGATTCGCCTTCCCTTCCGGAAGATTATAATACTATTAAACGCTGACTCTAGAGGGCTCTATGCCTGCTGTGTGGGACTCGCCGTGACTTTGGGACCTCCATCTTCGGAAGATTGTAACGCTACGAAGCGCTGATTCTAGAGGTTTGCGCGGGATACGACGCGTATTTGGGACCCCTTTCGTCTGGAAGATTCTTATGTTATTTAACGTTGTATTCGGACTCTCCCCCCTTCCGGAAGATTAGTATGTTAGTAGGCTTTGACTCTAGAAGGCTCTACGGGATGCGGCACGCGTTTGGGACTCTTTCTTTGGAAGATTATCAACGTCACTATGGGGTTTCCGAAAATTAGGGGTACCTTATTTTGAGGTCCTTATGATCCTACTATTTAGGATGCTAGATTAGGGTCCCCTATTTTCGGAAACTCCCATTCATCGCCGACTCTGACGGGCTCTGCGGGATGAGGCGCGCGTTTGGCTGGGGTTCCTTTTGGATAGTTTTTTGTTGTTTTGTGTTGGTATGGTTTATATTTTTCGGTTCGGTGGGTGTGCGAATCAGTCAGTCCGTCTACCAATCGAGCTATCAATTAATCTGGGTGTCAATCAGTCTATCAGTCCGGCAATCGGAATCGCCCAAAGAACGGGCGTATTTAAGATATATGATGAACCGGGATATATGGTGAACGGTTATCGCCGAATGCGGACGCGTGCTGAAGATACGTGGCGAACTAGAATCGCCGAATAAGGGGACGTATTGAATTCGTCGAATGAGGGATATATGATAAATGATTAAATACTATTAGACGAAGGGCCGTATTTAAGAAAAAAGGTGATGATTTTCGCCGAATGAGGGGGGGCGTAAAAAGATTTTTGGAGAATTCGAATTTCTAAATGGGGGGACATATCTAAGATTTTTAATATAATAATATCTATGAAATCCTCTAACCACTAAATGATGGCGCGTATTTAAGGGAAGATAAATTAATAATCTTCTTATAATTATATTCATGAATAGAAGGATTACGTTCTGTTAATTCATTTAGTTTATAATTCTTATTGAAATTCTCAAATTTTCTAGATCTTTATAGATGAATTATTTCAGCGCTTTGCATGAATAATGCAGGAAGATTTGAGATTAAGTCTAACGATATATAAATGATAGATGGAGTTATATATAGTATTAATAATTAAAATCTAGATTTCTATAATTTAAATTTTCATATTAAATACTTAGAAATTTTTAATAGAATTTATAATCCGAAATCTGGAGCGTGCACGCGTCGAAAATGAAGAGATTCTTATCCGAATTTCAGCTAGGATTGGTCGTCTTCTAGGTCCTAATGACCGCCAACTTATACGTTTTCCTTATAATTAAACGAATTATGCTTGGACGCTATGATATCAGCATCTTTATTGATGCGATTGATTTGGGCGCAAGTGGAAGGCTGCAAAATCGAAAGGAGGTGTCTTCCGAAAATAAAATTCGAAAAAATCTGTTGGGGGGCATTTCTACTTATTTTGGCGAGCGCTGGGAGCTTTCTTAATTTGAGAATATCAAGAAGGAGGGATTGAGGGAATTAATCTTTAAAGGTTATCAAGTCGATCATTAATTTTCTGAATATAAAATAAATATAGATAATGAAATTTATATTCTTCTGGGCGCGAAGTATTGAATTTAGAATGATGAATTATCTAAATGAATACGACAAATAGATAGATTTCTTTTTTAATTATTTTTTAGAATTCGAGAAAGCATATCATTATGTCTATGCGCGTGGTCGCCAGATTGTTTCTATGAAGTTCTCGATAATTTTCATAGATTTTTATTCTATTTCTTTTCATGCGAGGCTTTGGAGGTATTTCTATGAAATTCTCCGAGAATCTTATGAATTTTCTAATGAAATTCTCCATAGATTTCATAGAAGTAGTATTTATGATATTCTCTTCAAAATTCATAAAATGATCTCGATTTTTCAATATATAAGATCATTAGTAGATATATCTTTTTTTTGGATTCATATGGAAATGAATAATGGTTCGTCTCTTTGATTCTCTCTTTCTAGAAATCTTTCTATTTTTTTCTTTATTTCTATCTCTATCTCTCTCTTTGATTCTCTCTCTGATTCTCTCTCTCTATATCTCTCTCTCTTTCTCTCTCTATTTCTACCTCTCTTCGATTTTTCTCTATCTCTTTGAATTTCTCTCTCTCTCTCTCTCTCTCTCTTTCTATTTCTTGAATCTTTCTCTATCTCTCCCCGGGCAGGGATGGCTAGATAATATATTATATATTCATAATATGATATATCCCGAAATCTTACAATAATAAAGCATATCATTTTCTATTATAATATTATAGCAAAAAGAAATTTATTTTTCTTGGCTCTTTGTCGTATCCCATGATTAGTACTCCAATAATTTGCGATATTATTGCTGCTGGAAGTAGCGGGCCACCCCTAATTTTTCATAATTTCAGAATAGAGTTCAATTTCTGATATAAAGATGAATTTTTATTACATAGATACGCATAATTTCAGAAAATCGCTTATATATTAAAAAAAAATGAAATTATATATAGAGCCAGATGAGCAATTCCCAACGAGATATTTAGATCATATATAAATCATATATATAATAAATTTAAGCCTTCTTCTTAATCATATTCTGATCCGTAAATCTTTTCTTTTTTTACTATATCTAGAAAGAAAAAAGAGGAATCCGCTACGTTAATTCGCGCCCATTCGTATTAAGTATCATCTTCTTAATAGAAATAATATCTATGTATATATATATTAGATATATTTATAGGGTAGCAGATATTCCTAATTCTCCGGATTTTATTTATGCCGAATATAATTTGATATCGAAAAGAATTCTATTAATTATATAAATCTTCATCAAGAAAGAATAATATATATATTATTATTTCTTGCAAAATTGAAGAAAAAGTAAAGAATTCTAGATCTTCTATAGATATTATTTAAAAATTTATTTTTTTAAGATATTATGAGATATATCGTATTTCTTGAGATATTCTAGGATTCTATACGATGCGACGCGAATTTAGATATATATCATATATTCGAATATTGAATTTATGAGAAATCTACGAAATCAGATTCTCCTAGAAGATTATAGATAGATTAATTATTCATTCTAATATATTTTACGAGGTATTTTACGATATATTACGTATTAATGAAATAATTTATTATTTATTATTAGTTCTAGAAGAATGTATGAAATATGATATGATATTGAAATTTTCGTTTTCTAGAAACTTATATTTATCATTAAAGATTATTAATTCTAGATATTCAGAATTCTCGCCTCCGCGAAGATTTATATAGATATATCAAAAAAAGGATCCTATAGGATTCGAAGAGATATATTATCTATTTAAGATTCCTTAATATCAAGAAGATCATAAATAGAAGATTCGTATTTATAATTTATCTCTCCCCAATAACCTTCGTATCGTTAAGAATTCGCGCGAATTCCGCCGCGTTTCAATGCTCCCGGCGGTTCCGCGCGAATTCTCTTACATTTAAATGCGCCGGTTTCGTAAGAACTTATAAGGTTTAGAAGGTTTTGTAGGATATTGTCAGGAGTGTTATAGTTGTAAAGAAGGTGTAGCAGTCATCCCTCGGGATTTGCAAGCTTTTTCGTTTCAGAAATCTGGTCCTTAAGGTTTGCACATTTAGGCTGCGGGCTCGGGGTTGGGTAGTGATATGGGCTCTATGGATTAGCCTTCTTTTGTCGTAAAGCTTCCGGTTTTTTGAGTTCACGACTGCGCGTTTTGCGATGTTGCGCTGCCATATATATATATATATATATATACATATATATACACAGACACGGTCTGAAACGGGCGTCACGGTCTACTGTCTAGGGTTCGAGATTTACGGGTTAGGACCTTTGCAAGTAGTAAGGCCTGGCCCCACAACTGTCGGGCCAATGAGGCTTTGGGTTTAGGGTTTAAGGTTTAGGGTTCAGGATGTAGGGTACAAGATTTAGAGGGGTAAGTACTGATTTTGTGCATAAAGTCAAGATGGGCCTTGGGGTTCCCTAAGCCGCTTAACGTACTCGCCCTTACTCATTTAAGATATAGGAGCCCTTAACAGTGCGTCCCAGCTGGGTCTACTATAGGAGCCCTTGAGTTAACCTTTTAGGGAACCCTTAAGGTAGCCCGCAGAGCGTAGAGGAACCCTCACACAAGACTTCTGGAACCCTGAACCCTTGCCTTCCACCGATTTTTCGCGGTGAGTTGGCGTCAGTTCCGACAAAGGTCCTCTGCGTTCAGAACAAGATTTTAGGCTCTCTCGGGCTTGATTTGGCCGCGATGTCTTTCAACAGGATGTCCGCGATCTGCAGGTGCCCTTCATCTTGTGCGAGCTCCCTGTCACGGGCCTCTGCATGGGCTCCTGCCTTCAGCAAGGCCTCGACCACCTGCAGCTGCCCTTCAACCACAGCCCAAGTGAGGGCTGTGAAGCCACCCTCAGTGCGGGCGTCCAGCTGGGCTCCGGCCTCCAGCAATGCCTCGACCACCTGCAAATGCCCGCGGCGTGCAGCATAGATGAGGGCTGTGGAGCCGAGCCTTTCCTCATGGCGGGCCTCCAGCTGGGCTCCGGCCTTCAGCAACACCTCGACAACCCTCAAATGGCCATGATCCGCAGCGACAATGAGAGCTGTGCCATCCTGGCTAGCGGCCTCCAGCTGGGCTCCTGCCTTCAGCAAGGCCTCGACCACTTGCAGGTTGCCGAAGTCTGCAGCGAAGATGAGGGCTGTGGTGCCACGCTTATCGTCGGCCTCCAGCTGAGAGCCTGCCTTCACCAACGCCTCGACCACTTTCAGCTGGCCGGTTTGTGCGGCCAGCATGAGGGCTGTCCGGCCATCCCCACGGCGGGCCTCCAGCTGGGCTCCGGCCCTGATCAAGACCTCAACCACCTCCAAGTTGGCGCTCTCTGCAGCGTACATGAGGGCTGTGTTGCCAGACTCGTCGCGGGCCTCCAGCTGGGCTCCGGCCCTCACCAGAACATCGACCGCGTGCACCTTGAGAAGCCCTGCGGCACGGAGGAGGGCTGTCATACCTCTTTCATCTCGAGCTTCCAGCGGAACTCCGGCCTTCAGCAATGCCTCGAACACCTTCGGGTGGCCCTGCGTTGCGACAGAGATGAGGCAATCGACGTCACAGGCCTCTGCATGGGCTCCGGCCTGCACCAACTCCGCGACCACGTTCAGGGGGCCATTCATTGCTGCAATTGTGAGGGCCGTTTCGCCAGCCTCACTGCGGGCCTCCAACTGGGCTCTGGCCCTCAGCAACGCCTCGACGACCTTCATGTGGCCACTGAAAGCAGCGACCATGAGGGCTGTGCGGCCGAGTTGGTCCGGCGAGCTCGGATCCGCATTCTGGCGAAGCAGCTGCTCCACCCGAAGATGCGGGCGGGTGTCTTTCTCTCCTGCAACAACAATTTTAGAAGCCTGCTCGCGCAGGGTCCGCTCCACTCTCAGTGCAAGCGTGTGGTCGCTCAGCTTCTTCAACGAAGGCCAGTCGTCAAGCGAAGACATCAGCATGTCCGCGAGCCGGACCTCCTCTCCGCTGAGCCCAGTAGCGACCTGGGCTGCGAGTTGTGGGCTCGCGACCTGGCAGCGAAGCGAAGGGAAGCTACTAGCCAAGAGGCATCCTTTGGAAACTCCGCACCTGACGGAGCTCTTGGTCCTTCCGGTCCTGCTCCTCCTTGGCCTTCGCTGTGAAATTCTAACTTAAGACGAGAAACCTCATTGACAAAGGGTCCCTTTTGTCGGGGTGGGGGCCTCGACCAGCTTCTCCACGTGCTCTGCCATGGCGTCGTCCAGGCTGCAAGCGCCCGAGCAGTCGATGCACTGCCACCGGAGCCGCGACCTCATCGCGAAGGCTTCTGGGCTCCAGTTCGTCATTGACTTGGCCCAAGAGGGCAGGCGAGCGAGGAGCCGCTTCTGTAGCGCCGGGCTCGTCTGGTCGCACGTGCCCATGAGGTCCACAACAAGCACTTTCGGAGACCAGAACCCGAGGCCCCAGGCTGCGAGCCCCACTGTTGGGATTTCATGCGTGGACAGCACGGACTCTGACAAGTTACGCTCGCCCGTGATCTGTTTGTTGACCAGCGCGATGACGGTTCCTTGTGCTCTTTCGCGCATCCCGAGCACGAAGCTCATGCTTGCGATGGACCACATGTTCCCTGCAAGCGCTCTGGTCTGGGTATCTTGGTAGCAGGCGTCGAGGTTCTCGCTCACCTCGATGGCTTGGCCCAAGAAGGTGTTCGGGTGCAAGGTCGCGTGCTCTATTGCTTTGGCAAAGTTGGAGAGTGCGGCTTGCGTCGTGCGGTTCTCGGGGTCACCGTCCCAGAAGCCAGCCCAAAGCAGCGCATGCTGAAAAGTCTTGGTCAGGTCCACTAGCCAGCTCCTCAGAAAGGAGAGTGCTTGATATCGACGGAGCGTTTCGCCGGCCACATCCACGGAAGCAACAGAATCTCTGGAGACGCGGAGGGTTTCCACCAATTCGTGTCCCAACGCGAAGATGTCGCTGACACTATCGGCGCACGTCTTGTTCGGAAGGGCCGGCACGTAGTAGTCGAGAAGCCAGTCGGCTTTCGGCTGTAAGCGGTCACATTTAAGCGTGAGGATGTTCATCAGCCGCCCGAGCTGCTGATGGCAAACACTTGCGCTGGCGCTCTGCCAGTCCTTCCTGATGCTGGCAATCCGCTCTCGAAGCGTCCGCTCCCGTGCCTCCGCATCTCCGGGCTCTTCCACTGTGACCTCAGCTGCGCTGCTCTCCGCCAGCACTGTGCTCAGGAGCTCCTGAAGCTCTTCGGCAGAGCTCGCGCGGTGCTCCTCCCAGGGCCAGGCCGAATCGCTCTTGGACCGGAGCCCGGTTGCGAGGGCGATCACAAGAAAGCCCACCAGGCGCAGCATCGCGCAAGGATCCTACATATGGAACTTGCTAAATACACCAGAAAACGCTGAGTCGCAAGGCATACAGCTCTGCGGGACACGAAGCTAAAGCATCCGGCTGAGAAAAACGACCTGCCGCGAAAAACGGAAGGCACCCGCCTCTGTAGCTAAGGCTACAGCGACCGAAATGCGTCAAAAGCGGAACGATTGCCTTCGGAAGGCTTCTCAAGGTTCATTAGGGTTTCAGGGTTCAGGGTTAAGGCTAAGGGCCCCTAACCCAAAACCCTAGACGGCTTGCCAGGCACCTGGTTCTTCCGGGCTACGCATGCTCACCGGATCGTCATGGCACTGCTGTTCATGCTCATGCGAAGATAAAGATGAATATTAGCCTCTATACATATATATATATATATATATATGTTTACATACATAAATGTATACACTGACATGAAGTCCACCATTAAAACTAGTGTTAGCATCGTCAATCTTGTGAGCTTTAGTATCGTCTTAGTGTTGGTAGTGGGATGGGGACTGAGATTGAAATTGGGATCTGGATGGGGATGTGTATTCCTATGCGTTTTAGCCTTAGCAGAAGCACATAGCATCAGTGGAGCAAGAGCATTTACAAATATGGACTGATATGAAACTTATAAAGTAACCCTTACAGTACACCTCTTTGAGAAGGTTGGAGGGTTTGAACGCAGTAAGCACAAGAGTTACAGCATTGATTTGAGTATGTAGGTATAGGAATAGGAACTATGGACTATGGTAAGATAACGATGTTGTGGTATCGCGCGACTTCCGGCCTCTTGTGGCCTGCTCCGGCCTTTTCTAGGGGCCCGCTTAGGGGCTCGCAACGGCGCACGCGGTGGGACGCGACCTTCGTTTCGACGCTCCCTGCGGTTTCGCGCGAAATTCCGCTGCGTTTCGACGCTCCCGCTGTGGTTTCGCGCGCATTCCCTTGCGTTTCAATGCTCCCGCTGCAGTTTCGCGCGACTTCCAGCCTCTTCTGGCCTCTTCTAAGGGCCCGCTTAGGTTGCGGGCCGCAGCGGCGCACGCCGTGGGCGTGGGGCGCGACCTTCGATTCCCTTGCGTTTCAATGCTCCTGCTGTGGTTTCGCATGACTTCTGGCCTCTTCTGGCCTGCTCCGGCCTCTTCTTGGGGGCCCGGGCCGCAACGGCGCACACGGTGAGGCGCGTTCGTTTCGACGCTGCCGCTGTGGTTTCGCGCGAATTCCGCTGCGTGTCGACGCTCCCGCTATGGGGTTTCGCGCGAATTCCGACCTTTTGCGTTTCACGGAGCTTCGTCGGTATCATAGACGGTTTTGACACATGCTGCCGGAGCTTTTGGCTGGCTGTTGAGCTCCAAGTACACCTGTAGCTTGAGCATGCGAATACTTGCTTCAAACTCCTGGAGCTTTTAGCTGGTTGTTAAGGTCTAACTAGACTGTTAGCTGGCATAGCTTGAGCATGCAATGATAGCAGGACTCATGGGTTGATTGCTGTTCATACGTTATGGTGTTGCCAGACCGGCTTGCAGGTGTCGGTGATTTTTCGTTGGCCTCTTCTGGCCTCCTCACTGTTTGGGGTCTATGCCGGCATAATGGTTAAGGAATCTGCCCCTGGCCTGGCCATAGATATCAGAATTTTAGCTCTTTTGAATTTTTTTGAGCATGACAGCCATCCTCTGCAGCTGATGGAACCAGATCTCCAGTAGAGCTCACGGTGTTGATCTGCAGTGCCCCTGGGCGTGCTGGCCTTCGTGATCGAATCGTCCATGCCGATGTAAATGGAAAGGACCGGTTCGAAAAACTCGGACGGCACGACAAGTTGATAGTTTCGTTGTCGTTGACCTGATCCCTGCCACAATCCTGGAACTTCTCTCGCTGCTCTTTCTGCCCATGGCCCTCGTCATCCGCAAACCAATCAGTCTCGATGCGCTGCTGAACTTTCCGTCCAAGACTTGCCGCAGCGAGAGGGAGCAGCACAAAGTCTTGCAAAATGCTGATCAAGAAGCCTTCCAACCATTGTGCAGCATCTTGCGGACTGACCTCTGACGAATCCCAGGGTAAGAACTTGCTTGTTGCCCAGGTGCACGTTGCAGCAGAAGCGGGTTAGTGCTCATGAGCCTAAGGGCGTGGAATCCACTCTGTGCCGCGCTTCTCTGCGTGGAGAGTCATCATCGGAGTTTGCCGCCTGGTGATCACGATGAGGTAAGGATAGATCTTGATACTTTCCACTTCCCTTTGAGTTTTTGAACTGCTGAAGTTCTTCATATTGCCGAAATGATTCATGAAGTCTCCGGACTCCAAGCTGATGGCAGTACCAGGGCCCATCTTCTTCCCAGGCCAATACAAGCCAGCCATGTCGATCTTGCTGTTGAGACGGTGTCCATGCAACATCCAATCTAGCACTGGAGCAGTTCCGTGCACATCCTCGATGATGTAACTACCGCCAGGTCTGATAGCAGGCCACATTTCCACAAAGGTGACGAAGATGTGTTCTGGCACATGGGAGCCATCGTCCAGGATGATATCGAATCCTTCTGGATACTTGCCTTTGATGCTCTGCAGGCGTTGCACATTTGCCTGGCTGCCGATCTCCACTTTCACGTTGCTCCCGAATCGTTCCCAGGCTTTGGTCTTGGGGTTGATGTCCATACCGACCAAAAGCTTCAGCTTCTCACCGAATGCTTTTTGCCACATGAGAAGGCTGCCCCCTGATTGGATTCCAATTTCCAACATCCTAATGTCGGCCGTGCCGGTGCAGAAGCGGCCCAGGTGCTCTTCATAGACCGGAAAGTAGTGCACCCATTTGTGAATTCCCGGTCCTTCGGACTATTTACTTTTGCTTCTGACACAGAAAAGACGGGCTAAACGATAATCAAACAGTCAAACCAGGTGGCCTAGTAGATTTGTGCAGCCCTGGGCATTCATGGGAAATGCTGCAGAAAACATGCGGCTTCTGCAGCCCTGCCCGTCCTTCATTATGGTTCACGAAGAACTCATAGAGTCCACACGGCGACGCAGAGCCCGGAAGCGACGCAAGGCGCGGGTCCTCCTTGGCTTTAAGGTTTTGACACTCACACTCGGGTTTAGGGTTTTTTTCCCTCCTACCTAGCAAGGACAAAGCCCGCAATGCAGGGTAACTTCGAAGCAACCGTCGACTAGGCTGTGACATAGACAGCCAATTAGAGGTCCTCCAAGTCAGGCAACTTGTCGGCCTAACACTTCAAGAAGCTGAGTAATGCACCACATCTCATCTTGACATGCAACATATGTCGGACTTCAGCATATCTCTTGGAGAGACATAGATCCGCAAGGAAGTTCTCCATGAACTAGGGTTTAGGGTTTAGGGCTGCATAGACGCAAAAAGACCCAAAACCGTGTAAGTGTAAGACCACGACGACGGTAAGTCGCAAGTACTGCTCACAGGAGCTAGATCCAAGGAGAAGCATCCGTGAGAGCACACCACGGCAACCTCACCCTCCTCACTTTGAACTTCTTAGCGCGCTGAAACCCCATAGTGCTGACGCATTGTTTAGGCAAAACTGTTGGTATCAACAAAGCTTCAGACAGAGTTGCGGGAACCTATGTGCAGGTGAGCACTCACAGGTACGTTTTTTCAACGAACGAAACCTATATAGTGCGTGTACCATGAAAACAACAAACAAAACACCAACTATGTGATTCTGTTCCTGCCACGCAGCTTGGAAAATTGGCGACTCCATCCTTGTCAAGCGCATCAAGGGCCAGAACGAAAGGCCAATAAGGAACGCAAAGCAAGGCGGTGCCAACTCCTTGCCAAAAACCATAGCTCGCATAAGGCAAAGGCCCCAGCCGACATGCGCTACTGGACAAGAACAAAGTAAAAAATGTGTAATGTCGAAGTGCGGAGCCTTCCGCATAGACCGAATCTGCCGTGCAAACAACCTGAACCTGCCTGCAAAGAGCTCCCTCTCTCTCTCTCTCTCTCACTCCCTCTCTTTCTCACATGAAAATGGAGCAATGTTTTACAAGACTAGCGTCAAAGATCTGAAGGCTGAAGGCGTGTTCTGTGATAGCATGCTGAAACTGGCTCAAGCTGTAATCCCTGGCTTTTTGGTAAAGGTTTGCAGACAAACTTGAGCACGCATCTGGCTGCGAAAGCGGGGCGCAAAAACGGGCGGCCACTTCTCCCTGCATGGACCAGGAATGTGCATCTAACGTTTGCGGGAGTTTTGGCAACATCTCATGCCAGGGGCACATCCTTCGAGAGGTGTTAACGAGTGCTTTGATATTGGGGCCATTTGAACCGCAACTACGGAAACTCCCTACCTAGTTTGGGTCTTCAGGAAATGAAGTTTTGTCCACCCTGTTCCTGAACCAGGACCCAACTCCAGAAAACCGAATTCACTCAAATAGCGACGGGCAGTTGTCGCCATCCTCAACGGTTTCCTTGGCAGAGCGGCACCTGGTAATTAGTGGTCGGTGGGAGCATGCCTTGCTCTGGGTTCAGTCCACTTTAGACCCTCGGACGGTTCAGGATGATGTGCAGGACTTTCACCGCGGAGTTAACTGAGGGGAAAGCATGCTCCCAGTTGAGGAAGGCGTCGACTCTGCGCCAAAGATACCGAGTTGAAAGGAGCAGTCTCTCAAATCCCTTTTTGCTTTCTTCTAGCTGTGTTTGTTGGGTCCATTCTTCCCATATCGCTTGAAGTAAGCCCCTACATTCCGAAACACTTTAACTAAGAAAACACGCTTTCATCAACGCTCTGTTCGAAAGCACATTTAAATAAAACTTATGATTCACTTAGAGCACACCTCTTTACATTCAGAAGTTTAGCTGATTTCAAAAAGGCGAGTTATTCCTTCAACAAAATTGGTGCATACGCTTTTAGCTACCAGGACCTTTAGCCGCTACATCTTACTTTGTTAAGCTATCGTTATCGGTGTATGAGACAGTGGACATGTTTAACACAAAAACTAAGATCGGTTTCTGATGTTTAGGACCGCTCGAAAGTGCCAACGCTGTATGTGTGTTGCCAGCTTGCAGCCTGGCTAGCGAATGTTCCTGAGTGCAGGGGCCTTAAGAATTAGAATAGGGTCGTGGGCCCCTTATACTATACTTATAGTTAGGACCCCCACCCCGAAATAGTATTGATAACTATTAAGGCCCGTAAAGTACGGAGGCATGGGCCCGCTAAACGAGCACTGCATCCGCGAAGGATCTTAATGAAGTGCTTCTGCATGGGCAGCTCTAAGCTTCATGCTGTGATTCGGCAGAACGCAGACTTGGATGCTTTTGTATCGGAGAAGAGCTGTTGTCCGATGATAGGGGAAGAAATGTGAAGGCGCAAAGATCAGTTCTTATCTGCAGTACAGAAGGCTAAAGGTCCAAAGTTCCGACCTTTGCAAAAGGCTCACCCCAGCTGTTGCACGATTAGTATAGAAGCATCGAGTTCGCATGACATGCACTGCATGTTCATCTAACACGTGTGTTACCAAATAATAGCTGTCAGGTTTGTCACACTCCTTTTTGGAACCGCGGTGCTGCAAGGGCAATTTCCGGTTCAACCGAAGAACAGATAAGTCTGTCCTCTCCAGAGCCATTTCGGCTGAGGAAAGGGCTTTATAGTAATCCATACACGGGAACCTGCGTTGGCATAGCATCCTCCAAGGGATCGTCGTCAGGGGGCTGAGGGGATGCACCTGGAAGCTTGCAGCACAAGGGCTTGCATGGACACGTGACGGCATTGCACTTGCATGTTTCCGTCAAGGTTGCAATCGAAGCACGAACAACATGTTTCAAACCATGTTCCGAACCGTGTCCGAAGCCATATCTCAGCCTTAACGAGCACAGTATCGAAACCACATCCAGAACGCATCCAGCCATCTCCAAAACCATGTCCGAATCGTATGCAGATGTGTATCAAAACCACATGCTGGCCTTGTCAAGATCGAATCGCTCATCGGTAACGGAACCCACATACTGACCACAATAGAAATTACTCAAGGAATCCTTTGTTAGGCAGGACTTAGGAACTCACGATGCTAGGCCTCTAGGCGCATATCGAAGTGCCACAAGCCCTTCAAATCGCGTAAGCCTTATAAGCTCCATCAGCTGTATAAGCCTATCAGTTCTACAAGATCTATAAGCCCTATGTACGCAAGACCTTTAGGGTCTATGTGAGTATGCGCTGGGGGCATTGCTTTAACTAACAGCGATAGCTAACTCAGACTAAGACTACCAGGTGAGACCGGGACTTACCATTTCAACCACTTCAACCGTTTCGAAAATGGTTGACAAGGTTGAAATGGAAACTCCTTTGAGGGACGGAAAGTCCAAAAGAATCGAAATGGTCAAAATTGTTAAAATGTTTGACATGGTATTCCTTTTCCATTTCAACCAGCTCAACCATTTCAACCATATCAATCAGTTGAAAAGGTTGAATGGTAAGTCCTTTCCACTTTCACGACAATGAAAAATTCCGTTCTGGAAAGGGAAGGAAAGCCAAACAGGAATGAAATGGTTGAAATGGTGGAACGGTTGAAATGATGATTCCTTTTCCCTAGGTGCGACCGCGATTTACCGTTTGAACCATTTCAGATTGGTTGAAACAGTTGAAATGGTCATTCCTTTTCCATCTCAACCGTTTCCACCTATTCCAAAATGGCTTCAGTGGCTGAGATGGAAATTTCTTTCCGGTGTCTGTGGGCAAATGCCTGTCACTGGCTAGATGGAGGGACGATGCAAAAAGCTGCGCTCAACAGATCTCAAGCGAAAGAAACGGGCAAGACCCACCCATACCTAATGCACACCCTCTCAAGAAACCCAGGGCAGAGGCACATCCACCAGTCCCCGAAAGAGCAGCGGTGGGTGCAAGTACGCCGCCAATCAGACCGTCCACTCCCTTCCCGCCAGGCCCTCCCGAAGTGGGTCAGTATTCCCAGTCTCGGTGGGCGACGCCGCTGTCGGAATCCGCCCTACCCTGTTCGGGGCTGCCGGCTCAAGCAGGGAGAGCAGGAAGGGGAAAAAATGGAAAAGGGGCGGGTTGAGGAGGGTTCAGAATAAGCTCTTCCCGGAACGACCCTTCACGCAAACCTGCGGCAGGCTGTGACCAGTGTGAAATACATGTGCGGCACCTCCTCGGCGAAGAGAGTACCAGCGGAGGGAGTCTCGACCTGCAGGTCATGGAGCATGAGCTGCAAACGCTTACGCTGAACCCCGGCGTCAACCAAGGAGAGCGAGTCTCTAGAGCCTTTCCCCGAACGGAAGCTTCTAAAGTCGAGCACACAAATGCATCTTCAACTATCAGAGACTCTTCAGCACAGGCTCGTTGGCCCGACTTGGGAAGAGATGGAGCCCATGAGCCCGACCGTGCCGACAACACGAAATCTGAGCCGCGAGCCGCGAACAGCTCTCTTGCAAAAGTGTGAAACCCCGAAATGATAAGAAGTGCCGTGCCCATCCATCCGCGCTGAAAGGCGTCTTGGGCTGATGCATATGCGAGCAAAGGCACGTTGATCCAAGCGCAAGAAACCTTGAGGATAAGGTTTTCGATTTGCAAAGAAAGCTTAAGGATAAGGTTTTCGATTTGCAATCAGAAATGCAAGGAAGCGTGAAGCAGCAGTGAAGTAGCAGCATTCGATAGATTTGGCAACAACATGGGAAAGCAACATTCCGAAAGCACTCCTGTCGATGCATCTCTACTCCTTACTGGCCCCCGGTCAACACCTGATGCCGTTTCAGGCCGTTTAGGTATCCCTAGATGCGCGTTCGGAGACCCATCGCGATGGGACACCTGCGGGATGCCATTCTGATTTGACCCAGGCCAAGAGGAGGCGACAATGACCACCAAGAATGACAGAGACTCCAATGTCCCTCAATTAAGGAATATAGCTGAGACTATAGCAGGATCCCTAATATGATTTAAGGAATATTCCGTGATTAAGGGGTATTGGAGTCTCTGGGGAGTGCACAACAAAGGACTCTGGAGCTGCCGGGTGCTGCTCCGACCTTTTCGTAAGAACGCCGATGACCGCTTGGTGGTCGATGAACACACGAAGAAACCCTTGTTATGGTTATGAGTTATGGGTGAAGGATGGTTTGGAGTTTGGATTCTCGCAACTGGATAAAGTTTTTACCAGGATCTTTGGGGATTCGACGCTCACCCTCGGACACTCCAGGCGAGAGTCGAGAGGCATGTTGTCATACGGTACCACCCAGTTCATGCTCCCCCCAACCAAAACCCCTTGTGATTCGATGCCTATATAGGGCGACTTAGGGACTTCAATTCAGCAGCATCGAGCTATCAAAGAAGGGATGCGGGCAACTCAAGAGCTCGAAATCGAATAGAGTTGTGCAAGGGCGGGATGCCCCCTGTAACCGACGATCGTGGAATCATCACAGTTTCATGACCTTGTATATTTGGCCTATTCCCTGGTCAAAGGCGTCCCTAATGTAGCATCACGTCTACACTAAGCAATAAATGAAAAGGCCGGACACCTGGGCACTTCGGGTGAAACATGCGTTCAGGATGTAAAGCCACGTTTTGGGGTTTAGGGTGGGCTTTGGGGTTGCAGGGCTCCGAGCGACTCTGAGACAGATCCTTACAAGATTGGGTTTACACAAGAGTAGCCCGCCTGGAGAAGACTGTGACATACTGTGACTAGGCTGGTTTTGAGCCATCGTGCTTAGGCTTAGGCCGCACGGGCCGCAAGAGGACTCTACTTTGACAAACGGTTACCCCCTGAATTCACCATGCCAAAACACCACCGGCCATCCACATTGCCGGCCATACTTTGGATCACATTCCGCAAGCGGTGGTGTTGG